CCACGTGACGCGCGGCACCATTTCATTAGAGCTGCCGGCTGACCCCACGGGTACGCAAGCCTGTCAAACCCACACTGCTGGGAATGTTAATTTCTTGAAGGATGATAGTTCCCACTTGGCCGAAGACGGAAACCTAAGAATACCTGTAACCGTTAAGGAGGCCGAAAGAGATCATTCCCCATAGCAGCATTTCCCAAAATGTCTTCCAGGTGATGGTACTAAGTTACTTTTTTTTTTTAAAAAAAAAAAAGAGCTAGAAATTGGAATAAATGAAGTTAGATTCTGTGTGTGTGTTGTGTTTATTAACAGTGACATCTCTCAAAACTATTAACATATCAAAGTTTCTTATCTCTGGTGACTGTGTACACACTATTTCCCAAACTCAGAGCATGGGATGCTTCACCCCCTTAGCACCGGGCCTCTGTATGCATAGACATTTCCATAAGGGTTTTACACTGCCGCACTCGGTAAGTGAGAATGAAGTATGTGGATCCACCTAGGCCGGAACCCAGGTCTTAAATCCCACTTCCCTCCTCTTACCCCCACACTGATACTCTACTCACTTCCATGAATCTTTTTGTCCTATACAAGTGAAACAAACTGTGTTAGCTGGAAGCTACTAAAGCTGACATTTGAGGGCCTTCCATTGCCTGAGGCTTCCCTGTAAGTAAGTGTGTATTTATAGTGTTGTAGTCTTTCTTAAGGAGGCCCCACAAAATGGTATGGCCTTCATGTCCTGCAAAACCTGCTGCTACCACTAAGTTAAAAATGATTCAGTGGGTTCTTGCCAAATTTATAAACTGTGATTGAAAAAGATGAACTGAAATTACAGACATTATGACAGATTAAAAGTCCCTTTGGATTACTCTGGGGTCACCTTTGAGAGACAGGTATTTATCTTCCAGGGTTGCTAAAATGTGGATCTAAATAAGAACGAAATCGAGATTCATTCTTTGCGTACTGTTCATAACTTTGTCACCTTCTACCATCTCACTTCGTAGACTTCCTCATAAGACATTTATCAGTGCTACTACTGTTTTCTAAAAAATAAAAATAAAAAATTTTTAAAAATAAAAGCACCTTGCCTCATAGTCTTACCTCTACTCTTCCCCGTCTCAATATTTTAAGACTATGAATAGCCACACGGAAATCATCACATTGTAAATATTAGCACAGTTGGAATTCCTTCTGAAGACCATCTGAAGTTTCTGCATCAATTTTTTTCCACAAGTAGGGACTGACATCTTTAAACCTGAATCTGCAGTACTGCAATTTGGCATTCCACTTCAATTCTTTAAAAGCTTCATTTATATTGATCTTGTCTTTTGGAATTTCCTGTAGGCTGCCTCAGATAAAATAATTTCCAGCCGAATCTTCATCTTATCTGCTCTTTACTTTGACATTATGCCTTCAAAATCAAATCTTATTATTTAATCCAAAACAAAAACACTTTATTACAGAATATTAAATCAATAACATTAACAGGCTGACCTTGGTAATTCATTTTACTATGATTGATAAGACAATGTTTAAGCTTTGACTACTGATACTCAAAGCTTTGCAAATTTCTTCCAGACTATTCATAATCTAACAAGTTATTCTAACCACCGCACACAGAAATCACTATCCAACCACTTTGTGTCTTAGACCAATTCGATGCTTTACTCTCTCATTTTTCAAATAAACTTACAGCCAAAATTACCAAACTAGGAGTGATCGTAAAGGCCAACCATTTTACCTTCCTCTGTTTCACTCCCATCATCTTCCTGAGCTGGTGAATGTGAAAATACACTAAGCCCAAAATAGCAGTTGTGCACTGCCAGGTCAGCCCAGTCATTTCCAAGCCAAAGGGGAATTGACAGAAACCCCCTTTACAAGTCTAGTGTTTGTAAATATCCAATGAAATGACTTCACTCAGTCAATTATTTCTGGAGAAAGCTGGCAGAATAACATAGTAATTAAACCGAGGACTGTTGAAAACTCTTAAACAAGAGAGCTATTTTGCTCAGCAGTTCGAGTTAATGCTTTCAATGCATTTTCATTTTTAAAAAAATGCTTGAAATACTTGTACAATTAAAAGGAATTGCCCCTTCACTGAGAAACATAGTTAAAATATTCCGGTGATGATAGTACATGGAAAAGGAAAAATTCAGTTTTCCAGTATCTTCTTAGAGTCAGAGTTTCTTATGTACGATGAATTCTGAAATCAAAACATAACTGTATCCAAATGTAAGTAGAAAAGACATCTCAAAGCCAAAACATCATGCAGTCAAGACTCAAGTGCCGGTGTGCCAGGCATTCACTTCACAGTGAATATGCTTTCTGCAGCATATTTTTGCCCTGTCCAATCTCCCATTGGCTCCTCCAATTGGCAACCAAAATTCCCTTTCATTCATTCATTCAACAAATTGAGCCCTCATATCAGGCATTGTTCTAGTTACTTGTAATGTAGCCATAAACAAAAATACTTTATCATGTATCTCTTCTAAGTGCCTATTGGTTATGCACTTGGAGACAGACAAGTTCTAAGACAAAGTAACAAACTGGAATCCAAAAGCTGATGGGAAAATCTCTGAATGCTTCCGGAAGGAAAATATAAGCTGTTAAACTACTTGTATCACTTCATTTTTCAAAGGCTCTTGCGTACAAATAAACACCATCTTTCTTAGTACCTGATGCTGAGGATACAAAGGTTTAAAAAGAGGAGGGTGACTTTTAGGCTATCTGTTAATGGAGTAAGAGAAGATGGCAAAAGCCAAGAACTTAGGAAAACCAAGCCCAAAATTTCCAAGGTAGGGTGAAATTGGGAGTTAGTGACTAAAAACAGCATCTGCTACATTTCACAAATACTTCTCATTTCTCTTTGTCAGAATACATATTTCACTTCAAAAGATCTCCCTGGATGAGAAAGCAAAATCTTTTGAAAATCAAGTCACATGGGCTGTGAGATTAAGGACGGTACGTCATTCACGTTCCGTACACATGAGCTTCAGAATTTAATGAAATGTTTGCCGGTTATTTGTACACTGAGGAATACTATAAAATCAGAATGGCAGGGCAGTTAAGATCATAGATTCTGGAGCCTACTGCCTGAGCCTGAATCCAGCTGCACCACTAACAAGCTAGGTAAGTGTGCAAAACTAAAAACACTGATACCCGAGGTTTGTATCATATGTGGGGGCGAGATCCAAATTTATATTACAAGTTGAAAAAATGACCTTAAATCTGGTTTAAAACATCTGAAATTTCCAGAGCTCAGGAAAACCAATCTGCAGAGACAACCTCTCAACCCAAGGTACACAGGACTCTCACAGAACAAAGAACTTCTTTGAATTTAAGCTCCCAATAAAATATTATACATCATTTGAAGAAACCCATTCCCCATAAGGGAGAGCCAACAGAAACAGGTTTAGAACCTTGCAAACTACAAATTACAATTTTACACAAATGATGTTACCTTTTACTATGATCTTGTTCAGGCTTTGGTTCTCATTCCGAGCTAACAAAACCTTTAAGGTGCCCTACTATCCATGTTTATTAAGAGTATTGATAATTCTTGAAATCCACCCCATGAGCTAAAGTTTATGTATAAACTTTAACATGGACATACGTGGTTCACTTTTATTAGATGAATTATATCGTTGGAGTCTGTAAATGGGCACCTGAATTAACTACCAGGCTGCTCCTGATCCCCATCCACTGCTTTGGAGTTCATCTGCCTTACACTCACAGATTTAGTCTAAACTCAAAAAACTGGGTGAATACCTCCGCCAATCCTTTGGGTTGCGTTTTCGCTTTTAAACGCTGGGGGAAATGAGTCCACATTTAAAACGAAGCGCTTGTGCAACACCTAAATTTCAGAAACCGATTTTTTTTTTTTTAAGCTCAAAGGTTGTAAGGGAAATATTCCAAACGTTCTTCCCGTTCTGACCACCTATCTAAACCTGAAACACTTCAACACTTTTCTTAGTGCGGGATTTTCTAGCTACTCCTTTATTTCAATTCGTTTAAAAATACGGACACACTAACCATAAAATGTAAACCCCAAAAAAGTATTTTTTAAAAAATGATAGAAATATGAAAAGTAACGGATCTCTTTTAAATCATCCTGATCGATAACGTGCTTTGACAATGCTCGCATCTTTCCGTCTTCCAAATCTTGCTGAAAATGATAAAACGAGACCGCCGAAAGGTTAAGTGCCCGAGGCAGAACCAGAACAAAGAAACCGGGACTCCGCCGGCCGCAGCCCGCTTAAGGAATGTTTGCCCCTCCCCCAGGGCCGACGCTCTCCATTGCCTTCTCGAACCATAAAAGGCAGATGAGAGACCCTGTTCAACAGGGGATACAGACGTTTTAGGAGAAGGGTTGAGGCTGCACATTAGCAAGAATCGTTCACAAAACACCAAGGAACAAGCCACAATCCACAGAAACCTGGGAGACGGCGGAGAGCCCCTGTAAAACGTGCCTGTTCCCTTCCCACTAATTGTACTGCAGTCCTCTGAAACGTTCCTTCATAATTTAACACCTAAACCTGAACATTCGCTTGAGCGGACCTGCAGGGTACTTTCAGCGCAGTTTGAAAGGAACACGTACAACGCGCCACGGACCACACACCTCAGCACCACCAGGTAGCGGGTTCCGCCCCCGGGCACTGACAGAGGAGCCTGGGGCAGTCCCGTCCGCCCCTCGCGCCCCCGACGCGCAGCCACTTCCTGACTGCCTGTTTCTCTCCACCCTTACCCCACCGCCCTTTCCCCCCTTATCTCTCGAAGCGATTAACCCAACAATCACAGGAGATAGGAGACAGAGCAGAGTCAGCTCAGGGGGAAGGAATGTCTGCGTGGCCAAGGTTTCTTTAGGCAGTTTGTCCGGCACTGCTGTGGGCAGCCTCAGAGGGACCGGGACCCTGCTGCAGGGAAGAGGGGGCCTTGGGTCCGAAGCTCGACGCGCTGATTGGCTGATCGGCTGCTGCCGGGGAAGAACCCGGATGTGCCTGGGTAGTCGCGTTGGCATTCGGGGCTCTGAGGTTTGGGCGTTCTCGGGGTAGTGGCAGCCCGGGCGGATGGCGCAGGGTTGGGCTGGCTTCTCTGAGGAGGAGCTGAGGCGAATGAAGCAGACTAAAGGTAACAGCACGTGCCTGCGGAGACTGAATTCTTGGGTCTCCTGGGGAAGGGGCGGGGCTGCAGCCTTTGAGGGGAAGGGGGCGGGGAAGAGGGAAAGGTGTTCGTGCTGCGGGATGGAGCTGTAAATGGGGAGACAGGGTTGAGGGGCTCCAGAGGTGTACGCACTTGGAGCGCTGTTGGGAGGGACGGTCCCAGGGCACTCGGATCTGCTCTCAGAAAAGAGAGTTCAGGACTCCATTGCAGGGTTCGACTGTTTCCTGGGAAGGGTTTGGGACCTGGGACCGGAGGTGAGCCTGTAACCTGGCCGTCTCCTATCGGAGGATGGCGGCGTACATCCAGGGTTGGAAGGTTGAGGTCGGGGTGCAGGAAGGAGGAGGGGCACACACCACATTAAAATTGTGATGAATTTATGGCAGCAGACGATGACTGGGAAAAGGGGAGCACAAGGGTCCTCATGCAAAACGTCGGTGCTTTGCATAATACACCTGGAGTCTTGCGTTCACTTCTGGTTGCCAGATGATTTTGGCAGCTCATTGTAACCCTCGAGAGTCAGCAAACCAAAGGGGTCTTTGAGACGTTAGATATGAAATAAGTATATGTATATACACTACTTTGGTATAATCCAAAATTTTGTGCTTCCCTCTCTAGCTTTATAGAGTAATCATTGAAAGGACTTGTAGTATTTCGTTATCTCTTAATGAAGGAATCAAGGTTGTTGATACTTGGTGAGAAACTCTTGGTGATATAAACTAGGCTGTGTTGGTTACAATTTCACAAAATTCTGTTTGGTGATCCCGGTACTGCACACAGCTTCTGTGAGTTTATGCTACTCTTGGTACAAACTTGTACACTGTACTTTCAGAGAAAATTAAATAAACCCTGCCATGCCTTGTATTAGGGTTTGTGAGAAAATTGCATATTGCTCAGGTAGGCCTGTGCATTTTTAACATGGATGTGAGGATAATCGAGGGCTGACAAGGAGTAAATTAGTAACATAAGGCCAGTGTAGATTATATAGATAGAGGAATCTTGACTGGTCCAGAGGCCTTTAAAAACTATATCACTAAAGTTATATAATACAGTGTGTAATTAACTGACTCTATCTTGCTTGATGTTATCAGATTCTCTTGCTCTGTGTTTTCAACATCCATTCACTTACTCGGGTGTACAGAGTACAAGTACCTCTGCTTCTTGTCTGACCTGAAGTTAAAGGTGTCAACTTCTGCATCAGGGATGCTAAGATGAACAAGGCCTCATCCTGCTTTCAAAGAGTTTCTAGTCTCCTAAGGTGACAAACTATAACATGATATGATAGTAGGTGTTCTGCAAGGGCTTGCAACCAAGTGAGCAGAAACCTCACTCTGCTGGGGGTTGGGTGGAGCTTGGGAAGGTATCACAGAGACCATGTCTTAGCAGCGGCGAGCTTGCTGGGGGAAAGAAGACTTCATGTAGAACTCTAAATTAACCAAGTGATCATTGACAGATTATGTAGAAGCACATTTCTAAATACCCCTGCAATTTGGGATAGAGAGGGCATGGGAGGGCTTTAATTAATTTCAAAGCCTATCATTCCACAGCCAGACTCAGAGCATAGACACCAACACACGGGTCTGCAATCACCTTGAGGAAAACACCTTAGCATCTTGGTACACTCATAGCCAAACACAGTGATTGTCGTATGGACCATCTTGCTCTGCCTCCAAATCTTTTCTGTCTTGGAGTTCTCATTTGTAAAACCAGAAGTGTTGGATCCTTACTTTTTAAGGCTACGTCTAGTCTTCTCCAACCATTAAAATATAATTAAATAATCTGTGGAAATGAAGTTGGTTACCAGCAAAAATAAGGATAACAACTCTAGAGAAACCCATATGTGCATTGATGGAGAACACAAATGTTCTCAATGCTCTTTATGATATTGAAAAGCTAGGAATAAACCAAGTGATCATTAACAAGGGGGTAGATAAATAAATTGTGGTACAACCACCCAGTGGCCAACTGTGTAGCTAGTGGGAATATATGAACTATAGCCACATGAATTAACATGTGCAACTTTCATAAAAACAATGTATGAAGATAGCAAGTTGCAGAAGAATATAGTCTGATAACCTTTATGGAAAGTCAAAATCACACAAAGTGCAGGTGTATTTTTTAGGGATATAGGAAATCTATAAAGAAAATATAGGGACTGAAACACAAAATTCAGGGGAAACAAGGAATGGCAGATATGTAAGGAATATCAAAAATAGTGGTAATTATGAATTCAGGTTAAGCCAAGTTAAACCGCAGTAAGAGATAGCCCTAAAATAATTGTTTAAAATAATCAAGATTTATTTTTCACTCCTGCTTTATGGCTAACATGGGTTGGCAGGTGTCTCTGCTCCATGCAGTCACTCTACACAATGCTTTGGTGCTGTCCTGTAGGAGGTCACTGTGGCCGGAGGTGGAGAAGATGAATTAAGCATTGGCAATAAAATACTTCTCTCCAGTAAATGACAGGTGTCACTCCTACTTATATTTCATTTGGCAAAAGCAGGTCATATGACTTTGAAGATAAGATATACAATTATCTTGTGTATTTCATAAAGTGGGCAATGTTCTATTCTTGAACAGCAGTTATATCTACTATAGTCATGTTTTATTTGCTAAATTATATTGTTACTTCTCTATAATACATACAGGTTAGATTGTGTGTATGACATACATATTATTGGATGTATGACTTAATTTCATACTGAAAAACTGGAAATAAAAAAAGCAGTGCATCTACAGTGCTTTATGTTTTCCAGTTGTTGGCAATATATGAAAAATACAAATAAGCCAAAGAAAAATTGAGTAGATATTTCTTAGAAAATGAGATATGAATAGATGCTTATCACCATCAGTAAGCAGAGAATTGCAGATCAAGAGCATAATGAAATCTTACTTCATATCCATTTGATTGACAGAAATTGAAAATTCCTTTATCAGATGTGTTTGTTGCAAATCATTTTCTCCCAGTCTGTGAGTTGTCTTCTTGTTCCTTTGATAAAAGATAAAAGACACGTTATCTTTTGCAGTGTAGAAGTTTTTAATTTTAATGAAGTTCAGCTTACCATTTATCTTCTTCATGAATAGTGTTTTATGGTGTTGTATCTTAAAAGTAATTGCCATACCCAAGGCCATCTAAGTTTTTTCCTATATTATCTTTTAGAAATTTTGTAGTTTCAGGTTTTGCATTGTGGTCTGTGATCTATTTTATGTTAATGCTTGTGAAGGATATAAGGTCTGTGTCTGGAATTTTTTTTTTTTTTTTTTTTTTTTGCGCATGTGACTGTCTAGTTGTCCCACGACCATTTGTTGAAAAGAATTTGCTCCATTGTATTGCGTTTGCTCTTTTGTCACAGAGAACTTGATAGTATTTATGTGAGCCTGTTGCTGGGCTCTATTCGGTTCCACCAAACTATTTGCCTAGTCTTTAACCAATACCTGCTGTCTCGATTGCTGTAGCTTTATAGTAAGTCTTGGAATCAAATAGTGTCAGTTCTCCAACTTTGCTCTTCAGTTCGTGTTGGCTATTCTGGGTCTTTATTTATTTATTTTGCCTCTTCCTATAAACTTGAGAATCAGTTTATCAGTATCTGCAATATAATTTGCTGGGATTTTTATTGGGATTGCATCATATCTATAGATCAAATTATGATGAACAATTGACAGACTCAAGACAAATTGAGTGTTGACAATATTGAGTCTTCCTACTCATGAACGTGGACTACCTTTTTATTTTTTAGTTTATTTAATTCATCAGTTTTGTAGTTTTCCTCATATAGTTCATGCGCATATTTTGTTAAATATATATCTAAGTATTTTTTGAATACCATGTAGATGGTATTTGTCTTTTTAATTTCAAATTTTACTTAATCATTGCTGGTACATAGAAAATCAATTGACTTTGGTATATTTATCTTGTATTCTGCCACCTTGCTCTATACTGGCTTATTAGTTTCAGGAGTTTTTTGGTCATGTGTTCTGTTTTTAAGTGGCCTGCTTTGTTTATTGTTTGAGAGTTTAAAAATTAGTGTTATAAATCTCATAAGTAGGTTCTGTGAAAATGCAAAATAAAATGGAAGCCGAAGCACAGAATTTGAGAGCCACGACTAATTCAGAAGATGAGTATAACTGGGAGGGAAACAAGCTCAGTGATATTTTCTGATGGTGTGAATAAAGATTAGTAGCCAAGAATACGTTCCTGTTCCCAGATGCAGGAGGCTACTTTGTGTTTCTGGCTAAAGTCAGCAATAATAACATTTTACTTTAGATAGGCAACTATCTTTTAAAAATGTTTTCTTTACCCATCTCATTCCATCTTTATGCCAACTCCATGAGTTAGATAAAGCAGGTAATTTTCAACCAGTTTGACAGATGAGGAAACTGAGGTATAGGATAATTAATTGCCTTGCCCAAGGTTATTGAGCTGGACAAAAGCAACTCTGAAACTGTGACCTGAGCCTTTAACTCTCCTTTGGAGAATTTTAATAATAAGCTTGCACTGCTTTAAAGGTCAATATAAGTATTATTACTTAGCTTATAATGCTTTTTAAAAAAAATTCTCAGAGCTGTTTTATCTTCCCCTATTGCTTTGATCAGGCTGCTATTAAAGCTAGCTTGCACACATTGATTAAAGACTAACTAGTCTTTGGGGAACACAACCTTGGACTGTTCTGGAAGATGAAAGAGAACAATTTAGGGTAAACTAACATTCCTAGAAATAAGAGACTCCATTCAGTTATAGTTTGTGTATAGTATTTTTCTGTGTATCAGATTGCCTTAAGATATGTTAAAATTTAAGAAAGGTGAAGCTCATTTGAAAACTAAGCCACCATTTTATTTCAGGAGGGCAGACACAACCATAAATCAAATTTAAAACTTATCAGAGAAATCCATTTTTCTACCATGCTTGGTCAGATTAGTTGATACTTCTGACAATTATCAAATCAAATTGAAAAAGAAAAAGAAATTTTTCTTTGTATCCTAAGGTCTTCTTCACAGACAAATGGATTTCCTTGAAGATAAATTGAAAGCTAGGGCAGTTTTTGTTAAATATTAACAGTATGATTGAAGAACTATTGAAACTGTACAGGAAGATGGCTGTTTTTCCCTGGGCTTTTAAGATAGAGAAGGGGAAGAAACCTTGTAGAATTAGCAAAATTTAATATCCTTTATTTTCTTAGAGATATTGTAATTATTTGCTATTCACACAAAGGAATTTTCCTTCATTTTCTTTTTGATACAGACCCATTTGAACCACAGCGACGTCCCCCTGTGAAGAAAAGCCGACAGCAGCTTCAGCGGGAAAAAGCCCTTCAAGAGCAAAGCCAAAAACTTGGACTGCAAGAGGGATCAACCGCATTACCTCCAGAGCAGCTGCTTTCGGCACCACACCAGAGAATTAAGAATCAAAAGCCACATTTTTCTCCCCTTGCTGCTCCCAGTCCTCTTACACCCACCTCTCCCATTGGTGATGGAAAATCCCAGGGTATGGAAAGTCAACCACAGGAACTGGGACTGGAGAATTCCCATGACGGTCACAGAAGTGCTGAGGTTCTACCTCCAAATAGCAAATTGGAGAAAAAGAAAGTGGAATTGTTAGTAAGTCTATATATCCATGAGATTTTTTTTTCCATTTTACCTTTTTTCCCCATTGAGCTTTGAAGAAGTGTCGTTTTTAACATTTTCTCTGTTTTATATTCTAACCTAGAAATGTGATAAATTGTCAAAAATATAGCTACCACCTAAATATATTGCAAATCAGTCATCTTTAGGCATTTTATATACTTAATGTCATTTAGTTCCTTGTTTTCACTTTCCAGATAAGTTATATTTTCGGTTTAGAATAGCTATTGTATTCCCAAAGCCAGTATGCAACTAATAAGTAGTTGAGTTGGGACGCATATAAAAGTCTCTCTGAATCCTAAGTCTATGACCTTTACATTCACCAGAAACATTTTTTACGTGTGTAGTAATCCTTCGCAAATTGATGCATTCTTCAGCTTCCAGGCTGCATCTACATTGGCCCAGAAAAGAGGACTTGTGAAGAGACATGTAGGGATGGTCAAAGGAAAGAGTGTAGGAAATTGAGGGTACTAATTAAGTAATTCACTTGCATCGTTAGATTTCTTTTTCTATTTAATTAAATTGTTTGTATTTGAAACCATCTCCAGAATTTAGCCACGTTCTTGTGAAAATTGCCATTCTATGACTTGTAAATTCATATAATCAGATATTTTTTACTATAAGGCTTATGTTTTAATATCTATTTGTTTAGTATCTTATTTGTTTCCTACGAGTTTATTGCTCATGGGGAAGAAAGGATGGTATTTGTTTCTGTTTTCCATTTTCTGAGTCTTTTCAAAAGTGTTTTCTAATCTCAGCTATTTTTTAATCTCTGCTGATCCATATTCTGTACTATGAGTTTAAAGTGTTTCCCACTTACCTGGGGTTTTTTACCAAGAAGTTATTTTGACAGGAGATAGAAAGCTACATGATCATGAGACCAACTCTGAACAAATGCATACATTTAAATGACTAAGTATAGTTTACCAGCAAAGGCCTGAGACAAATGGGAGGTGGGTTTCAGTTGAGCTGGGCAATTTAGATTGAATGTCATGAGGAAAATTATTCTTTTTTTAGGTACTTGGGAAAATTCTCGTAGAAGACAATAATCTCAGGAACTGTTGTTGAAACGAGAAATTCTGAGTCTGTAAGAAGAGGAAAGGAAAGTTGTATTCCAGAGAATGCTCAGAGATGATATCTCACTTCTCTGGAAGAGGGAAAGGACAGGTCAGAGAATAGTGAAGAATTAAGAAAGTGAAGAAGGACTTCCAAGCAGAGGCTCCTTGCCTAGCAAGTTCCTAGTGGTAGTATATCACTAAGCCCTCTAACGGAGGGGCCCTGGTCAAAATAAAGGTAAGAGAAGACCCGGGTGTCTGTGTTGCTGAACATTTGGGAGAGGTGCGGGGTGAGCTGGAGCTGAGGCATCTGGTAAGGAGGTGTGTGCAGAAGTAAAGATGAGAAAAGACCAGTGCGAGCCAGCACTAAGGTAGGGGCTGTAGAATGGAGAGAAAAGGATCATTTTGGACAAGGTTACTAGATCTGGGAAAGAAATTTTTGATATAATGGCTATAAGAAATGACAATAATAGGAACAAATAGCTTTGTCATTACCTTGTTATAATTTGAGTTGACATCAAGGTGATGCATTTTCAGGACATTTTAATACACTTCTTTCAGAATTACACAGATTGGAAAACAATTCATGTTTTCAGATCTTGGAGGTTTTTCTTTAGCCTAGCATTCAATTCTTAGTTCATAGTGTTTCACTCTGTTTAAAGATACTTAAGAGCTGGAAAGAAGCAAGCAAATTGAAAGAAAGTGAATGAAATAAAAACTGACTATTGTTCTAAGGGTGTTACATGGTGGAGACTTTGATTATAGAAAACTGTAGTCAATTCTGGTCAAGATGTGGAGTTAAGTAAATGCTGTGCTCACCTACTCCCAAAACTACATCAGACTTACAGCTTATAGAACAATTACCCTTGAGAACTACTTGAAAATAAGTTGAACAGAATTCCTATAACTAAAGATACAAAGAAAAAGACACAACAGACTGGTGGTGGTAGGGGCAGAGACGCGAAACAGGCAGGTCCCACATTCATAGTGTAGTGATTAAGAATGAGGAGTAATGTCTCGGCCATAGAGGGTTCCCACTGAGGAGTGAGAGGTCTCAGCCCCACACCAGCTCTGCAGCCCAAGGCACCAGTGCTGGAAAGAGGAGTCCCCACAACTTCCGGCTGTGAAAATCAACAGGGATTGCACCCAAGTGAAACGGTGGGCTTCTGGAGTCCGGGCTTTCTTGAGGAGTCTGAACGTGGACTTGCTCACTCACAGACTCACTTGCTCTAGGCTGACAAGAGCAGCAGCTTGAAAAGTGCCAAGACATGTGAGGAAGAAGGAAATTGCCTAGCTTCAGGTGAGGGCTGGAGGGGCGGGGGGCAGCTCTCTCTGGGAACAGAGTACTGGCAGGTGCCACTGTTCCTTCGCAGAGCCTGGTACATACGGGCTCAGGCTATCTATTTTGAACAGTAGACTGTTCACCCCATTCTGGTAAACCCCTGAGACCTCACCTCACTCAACTTAACATGCCTGGCCCATGCTGCTTCAGCAGCTTTCCCACGCTAGCAGCCTGCCTCAGCTCATGCTGTAGGCTTTCTTAAAATCTCAAAGATTCACAAGTCAAATGAGCAGAAGCTGTCTTTTGCATGTCCTGTACCTCCTGCTAAGTGGCCCCAAGCCTGACACAAGCAGTGACTGACCTCAGCTTGCCTTATAGCTGCCTTCAGAAGGTCCCCGGCCTGGCATAAGCTGCAGCCAGTATTGACTTGGAACACACTTGGAATCAAGCAGCCACAAACCCAGCACAAGTGATGACGGGCCTCCGCTCACATCATGGTGTCCCCGAAAGAGTCCCAAGCCTGGCACTAGCACAGTAGCCTCTGTTGGCAGCATAGCCTCTCTAAAGTACCTCCAAGCTAAGCACAACATCAACCAACTGCCGATCACTTTGTACCTTTGATGAGGTGGTCCCAACCTGGGCACAAACAGAGGCTGATCTGGGCCTAATGGAGCTCCTGAGAAGCTTCAGAACCAACACAAACCAGTGACCAGCTTCAGACTACACCACAGCATCACCCAGTCGGCTCCACAGGTGACATACCTGCTGCAGGTTAAACATAAATCGCACCACAGCCCAGCTAGCCCTCGCAGCAAGCAAGCCTGAGTCCATCCTACCCACTGACATGCCAGCAACAATCAAGGCTTAGCCACAGCAGGAGAGCACACACACACACCCATGTAAAGGATGCCTCTGGAGCACCCAGCTCAGCTGAACAGGAAGGCTGCACCAATGGGCCTCACAGGACACCTACTGCATAAGACCACCCTGCCAAGACTGGGAGACAGCAGATCTACCTAATACATAGAAACAAACACAGAGAGCCAGGCAAGTGAGGAGACAAAGAAACATGCCCCAAATGAAGGAATAGAACAAAACCTCAGAAAAAGAATGGAGACAAGCAATCTGCCAGATACAGAGTTCAAAACACTGGTTATAGGATGCTCAGTGAACTTAGGGGAAGAATAGATGACCTCAGTGAGAATCTCAACAAGTAGATAGGAACCATAAAAAAGAGCCAGTCAGAAATGAAGAATACAATAACAAAGAGTACATTAGAGGGATTCAACATCAAATTATATGGAGCAGAGGACTGAATCAACAATCTGGAAGACAAGGTAGCAGAAAACACCCAAGTGGAATAGGAAAAAAGAATTTTTAAAAAAAATGAGGACAGTTTAAGGGACCACTGGGGGGACAACAAGTTTATCAACATTCACATCATAGGGGTGCTAGAAGGAGAAGAGAGAAAGCAAGGGACTAAAAAACTACTCGAAGAAATAATGACAAAACTTTACTAACCTAATGAAGGAAATAGACAAGTCCAGAAAGCACAGAGAGGCCCACAAGAAGACACATCATAATTAAAACGCCAAAAGTTAGAGACAAAGGATCATAAAAGCAAGAGAAAAACAGTTATTTACCAGGGAACTACAAGACTGTAAGGTGATTTCTCAACATAAATGTGGCAGGCCAGAAGGGACTGTCAGGAATATTCAAAGTAATGAAAAGCAAAGACCTACAACAAAGAATGCTCTACAGGTAAAGAATGTCCCGCAAGCCTGTCATTTAGAATCAAAGGAGACGTAAAGAATTTCCCAAGCAAGAAAAAGCTAAAGGAATTCACCACCACTAAACCAGTATTACAAGACATGTCAAAGGACTTCTTTAAGAAGAAAAGAGAAGATCAAAAATATGAATAAGATAGGAAAGAAATAAATTCTCACTAAAAAACAATAGAAGCAGTGGATAAACTGACTGTAAAGCCAGTACAAAGGTTAAAAGGCAAAAGTAGAAAAAGCATGTATAATTACAATTACACATAAATGCAAAAGAAGTAAAAAAAATGACAAAAACAAATAGGGGAGTAGAAATTGTACTGATTTTAGAATGTGTTCTAAGTTTAGCAACCATCAACTTAAACTGCTATAAACATAGTTTGATATATAGGAACCCAAACACAACACTATAGAAAGTCATCAACATAAATGAGAGCAAGAGAATAAGAAAGGAACAGAGAAGAAATGCAGAAGCAATCAGAAGACAAGATGGCAATAACCACATACCTATCAATAATTACTTTAAATGTAAATAGAATAAATGCTCCAATCAAAGGACATAGGGTGGCTGAATGGATAAAATAACAAGACCCATACATGTGCTGCCTACAATAGACTCCAGATTGAACGATATACACAGACTGGAAGTGAAGGGATGGAAAAAGATATTTTACACACATGAAAATGATGAAAAACTGGAGTAATAATAATTATATCAGACAAAGTAGACTTTAAAACCAGGGCTGTAATAAGAGACAAAGAAAGGCATCTCATAATGTAAAGGGATGGATTCAACAAGGGGACATAATTTTTGTAAATATTTCTATTCACCCAACATAGGAGAACCTAAGTATATAAAGCAAATGATGGATGTTAAGGGAGAGGTCAGCAATAATACAGTAATAGTAGAGGACTTTAACACACCATTGATATCAAGGATATATCATCCAGGCAGAATATTAACAAGGCAACAGTGGCCTTAAATGACATCCGATGAGATGGATTTCATTGATGTTTTTAGGATATTTGATCCAAAAGCAACAGAATGTACATTCTTTTCAAGTGCACATGGAATATTTTCCAAGATAGACCACACACTGGGCCACAAAACAAGTCAATACATTTAAGATTGAAATCATACCCAGCATCTTCTCTCATCGCAATGATACGGAACTAGAAATTAGTTACAAGAATAAAAATGGAAAAACACATGAAGGCTAAATAACATGCTATTAAAGAAGCAAGAATATACATGGAAAGAAGATAGCCTTCAATAAGTGATATTAGGAAAACTGGACAAATACACATAAAGAATGAAACTCGATCATTTTCCTATGTCATATACAAGAATAAACGCAAAATGGATTAAAGACTTCAATGTAAGACCCAAAACCAGAAAACTAGAAGAGAACAGCCAGTAAATTCTTTGACTTTGTTCTTACTAATATTTTTGGATATGTCTCCTTGGCAAGGAAAACAAAAGATAAAAAATAAACAAATGAGACTACATCAAACAAAAGGTTTTTGCACAGCAAAGGAAACCATCAAAATAAAAAGCCAACCTACTGAATAGGAGAAACTATTTGCCAATGGTAGATCCAATAAGGGATTAAGATCCAAAATATATAAGTAACTCATACAACTTAATATTTTAAAAAATCAGATTATAAAATGGGCAGAGGATCTGAGTAGACATTTCTCCAAAGAGGACATGCAGATGGCCGATAGACATATGAAAAGGTGCTCAACATCACTAAAAATCAGGGAAATGCAAATTAAGGTCAGTGAAATATCATCTCATACCCATTAGAATGGCAATTATCAGTAAGACAAGAAATAACAGTATTGGCAAGGATGTGGAGAAAAGTAAACCCTTGTGCACTATTGGTGGGATTGTAAATTGGCTCATCCACTATGGAAAATAGTATGGAGATATCTCAGACATATAAAAATAGAACTACCATATGACCCAGCATTCCATTTCTGAGTATCCAAAGAAATCTAAAACTCATATGAAAAGGCATGTGCACACCTATGTTCATTGCAGCATTATTTATAGTAGCCAAGATATGGAAGCAAGCAAGTGTCCATCGATAGAATGGAAATATTGCTCATCCATTTGCAACAATATAGATAGACCTAGAAGGTACGCCAACTGGAATAAGTCAGACAGAAAAACAGATAATCATGTGATTTTACTTATATGTGGAATCTCAAAAACAAATGAACAAACAGAAATAAACTCATAGATAAGAGAACAAATGGATGGTTGACAGATGGGATGAGGTTTGAGGGAATGGGTGAAAAAGATGAAGGGATTAAGAAGTACAAATTGGTGGTTATAAAAATAGTCCCAGGGATGTAAAGTACAACATAGGGGATATAGTCAATAACATTGTAATAACTATATGATGTCAGATGGGTACTAGGTTTATCAGGGTGATAACTTTGTAAGTTATATAAATGTCTACTGCTATATACCTGAATTAATACAATATTGTATGCCAACTGTAATTGAAAAAATTTTGTTAACAATTAATAAATGCATATTCAATCTGGAGAAAAATAAAAAATTTCTAGGCATACAAAGAAGCAGGAAATTGTGATACATAACCAGGAAGAAAGTCATCAAAAGAAACAGACGCGCAAATGATGGGAATTATCAGGCAAAGAATATTTAAACAGCTATTATAAATATGTTCCATGTGCCCAAGAACGGAGAATATAAAGTGATTTAATGATTAAATCATTAAAATGATTTTCAAAAGAACTTTGAAAGATATAACATGACATTAGCTACAGACCTATTTATTTTACTTGCCATTTTGCATATAATACATAATTAACTTACACAAGTTTCTTTGTATTTCTGAAAAACACCACACTACTCTGACTTCCAGTTTGTGGGTTCCTAGGTTATATACATATAATGGATTTCAAAGGGCCAATTTATGTAAGCCTTCTTTACTTTAAATCGTAGTCTTTGTTTCTATTAGAACAAAATAATGAGCTGCAGATGGGTTCCTTTTAAGAGGACTTTAAAAAATATATACATAATCTGGCTGATTAAATTTTATATGTGGGGGACTGAGACTGGTAAGGTGTGGGGTGAGGTTTCAGAAATTCATTTTTATACTTTTTTGCTCCCTAGGCAAGAAAAGTCTCGTTGGGAAGTCCTCCAACAAGAACAACGGCTAATGGAAGAGAAAAATAAACGTAAGAAAGCTCTTTTGGCTAAAGCTATTGCGGAAAGGTGAGGCACCTGAACCAGGAGGGGTTGTTTGCGATCTGCAGTCAGCTCTGTCATGTTTTATATTTTTATTTTTCCATGTCTATTCTATTAGAATGACACTCTTGACAACCATTATTTTTTAGGCTAACGCAACAAATTATGCTTTATAAATTATACTGACATTCTGGTGTTGATTTAGTCAGGAGGACTTTTTAACCATAGATCGTAACAAATTTATTGACACAGGTACAATTAAAACTTAAGGCTCGACATCAGTGTTTTCAATTTTAACCATCTACTCTCATAAGGGAGCAATAAAAAAGTATCAATACGGTATAAGTAAATTAACAACAAATGCAGGTTTTCATTTTGATATGAAGGGGCCTTTGTCACCTAACATGTAGAAGAGTAAGATTGTTCCACATAAGTGACTTAATACTCCCATAAATCTTGTTTCCTAAGGACATTTTTCTTAAATAATTTACCTGCCCTCACTGATAGAAGAGCACATGATATAATTTAACCTTTCGTTGATGACTCGGGTCACTGGTGGGCACTGTCCCATACTGTGCAGTTTTGCTCTCACCTCCCAGTGGCAGTGTGTCCGAGACCCCTTTTCCTTCACTGTGTTGTGCTAGCCTTGAACAGCAATATTCCTGTTTGAACCTCTCTCCCACCCCTCACCCACTCCTCCCGTGGGGGCCTTGGGCCACCAAGCTTAGTCAATAAAGCAGCGATTGGCAACAGCGGGAACTAAATGCAAGCAAGTATTCAGCGGCATTTTCTTTTTAGATCTCCAGAAAAGTCTGGCAAAACAGTTGCTGAGTGCAGCTGGCATAGTGTCAGGGAGGGAAGGAGCGGTGATGCAGAGCGAGGCAGGTGGGGACAAGGGTGATGCAGAACTCAATCTGCCAAAGAGCTAGAGAATGTATTTGAAAAGGACTTTTTTCTCCTGCTGGTTTACCTTGATCTTTCACAAAGCTTAGGAAATAATGCTACCTACTGCTGAATTTATGTTTCAAAGGAAAAAAAAAAATGAGTATTAAAAAGTGATTATTGGCAAGCATTTTAGTAGTCTTCAATTTGGAGGAGATTCTAGAGGCTTTTATTGGGGATTTGACAAAAAAAATTTACAGGCTTAGCATGTTTTCTTCTGTACATGCTTTTGATTTCAGATAGAAAGCACTGATATAAGCTGATTAAATCATTAATAAATGGACAGTGAAGTATGTTGCTTGTAATAAAAGGATAATACTATTAACTTTTATAGGTGGAAAACAAGGATAAGTGCATCAGTAGAGTATCAGGAGAATGTAAGTTGCAATGTAGTGGTTTTATGTGGGAGCTTTATTCTCCTGTGAGAATGTGTGTGAAATTTTGAAATGAGTGAAATCATGATTAAAGGTTGGCCTTTGTCTTTGTTTATTCTACTTTTAAGTGCGTAATGTACTTGGGAGTGATGAGGGGACTGAGAGATGGTGAGGCTGGGTGTGCTCTTAAACAAGAGAAAAAAGCGCTTGATTTCGAGCTCCAGGAAGAAAAATTTTGAAGACTTGTGGTTTTGCCTAAATGACAGAAATCAAAGGAATAAAAGTTTGGGGAAATGAGTCCTACGAAAGCTAAAACCAAATAGATTTTTTATACATAAAGAAATGGTGTTTGATTCAGGCCTCTGTTTTTGGCACCCACTACATATCAGACAAAGGAGAATGGGCTTAGTGAGAAGAATTTAAGACTAGAAAGATTGGAAAGTTGTGTTCAGTGACGTTTAATGTAAAGAAAATAGAGATATATTCTTTTAGAGCTTATGCTTGTCCTTAGGGAATGAATATAGACCCATGAGTGAACTATTTATCAATATATTTTTAAATCTTTTCCCGCCGTGTATGAAAATTATATATAATAATAGAAAGTTTGAAATAAAAGAAGTGCAAATGCAGTCTTAGAGATATACCAAAATGTTATCAGCATTTGATTTCAATTTTCTTGTTTTTTCTAATTTTTAAAAAGTATATATTCATACTGTATGTACAGTAGCTTGCTTTTTTCACTTACATTGTATATGAATACATGGTTTTAAAATGTTTTTATTTTCCACTCATGTTCCTACTCTTCTAGATCTAAAAGAACTCAGGCAGAGACCCTGAAACTGAAGCGGATCCAGAAGGAGTTGCAGGCTTTGGATGACATGGTATCAGCGGACATCGGAATCCTCAGGAACCGGATTGACCAGGCCAGTCTGGACTATTCCAATGCGCGGTGAGTTGGGGAAATTGGATTCTGAACAAGCAGTTCAATTTAATTAATGTTTATTGCAAGCTGGGCCAGCATCTTTCATGTATATCATCATTTACACCTCATAACACCCACATCAGGTGCTGTCGTTGTTCTTGTTACAGAAGTGGTGTCGAGTGTGTCTCCTCTTGATGCCTTCCTTCACTTTGCCCCACCTGTTAACCTTGTTCGTGTTCCTGTTAGAGTATCTCTTGCATTATTTAATTACATTTGAGTCTTCCCTGCTAAAGCATCTGGTATTCCATGTTTGGGACTCTTTAAATACCTGAAAGACTTGCCCCCAAACTGTAATTCTAACACCAAGTCTGTGCTCTTTCTGTTAAGAAATTTTGATTGTCTGAGATGCTCCTTAGGGATTAGCCTAGTTCTCATTTCAGTTGTCATTAAAGAAATATCTAGTTTATTTTTTAAAAGTCTATGAGTATTTTAAAGAAAATATCACTCTGTCTTGAAAGCTTTAAGTATTTTCTTTTCAATTATAGTCTGTGTAAAATAGTTCACTATCACGTGTTTCTTTGGTTTCAACCATGGCATTTTTTAAGAGAAAAAATCATCATGGAGTAGTTTTTAAATGAACTAACACATGTAAAGAATTACATGAACTTTGCAAGCAGATAAAAAGGCAAAAAATTAAGTCCAATTTTCAGGGTTTTCAGTCCTTTCAACATTGCTTTAATCATCCTGGTTTGTCTTTTTTCACAAGGGAATGCTGTGTTAATGACTCAGTTTTGCATCTTTCTCTGTAACACTAGAAATCAATCAGAATGCCTCATTAGTCCAGGGTAAACCACAGCATCAGAATGTTTATATAACAATTTAATAAAGCGGAAATGCTTGATTGTGGTTTTTAATTCACTGTTTATTGTTTAAGAAAGAGGTTTGTGGTGTCCTTGTGATTTTTGTAATTGTTGCTTGACCATATGCTGTTAGACTTAATGGGTTGCCTAAATTAATGCCATCAGTAGCTGATAACTAGAGGTTCCAGATTTCTACTAATAAGGTCATTAAGGAGGTGACCGAGATTTTATTAAGATTAAACTAAGCCTAGATGTTTAGCACATTTTATTCTCTGTAAGTTAAGGTTGCCAGAGGAACTTTTTTTTTTTTTTCCGCTGTTGTAGCCCTATATATGAATAATTCATATTACTCTGGATACCTCAACAGAAAAATCATCTGATTGTATTTTAATTCATCTTGGAGGAGGCTGGAGAAGGATGCCTTTGTACATTAAGCAGTTATATTTTAAAAATTTCATAGTTTTAGCCTTCAGAGAACCACAGAGAAGGTGGAATTACTGGCTAAAGGAGAAGACATCCCATAATATAGAAATACTTGTAATGAAATTTTAGTAAATTTTTACATAATAAAAAATTTTACATGGTAAATGTTTTACATCTCAAGCTAAAAATGACAATTTCTCATGGTACTGATACGGACATTGCTGTATGTGAACATCCTTATTGCATGTGTGAGGCTATTTTTAAAAATCTCAGACACACTTGTGATTAGAACCAGCGTTGCATCTTGTTCATGCATAAGATTAAATTTTCTAAATTTATGTCTGTGGTTATTGAGAAATTATAGATTGGTGATACAACATTACGGTCTAGATTTCTTCTAATCCCCAGGGTAGTCCATTTCTGTGGGAGATTTCCTTGACTTTTTTTTTCCCCCCAATATAATTGCACAGGCCTGGGACAGAGCTGTGTCCACAGGAGGTTCTGGATTCCCTGGAAACTGGCTTCTGTAGACCAGTGTCAGGGCAGACGGCCCTGAGGAGACGGGCTTTCGGAGCAAGCCAGCCCGAGAGCCGCAGCAGCAGCCGCCGCCGCCGCCGCCGCCGCCGCCGCTGGCAGCGACGATGACAGTGCTGCATATGCTGTGCAGACCAGCTTGTAAAACTCAGAGCGGCTGCATGTAGAACATTTCTTTAACCCTCCATATACCGGGAAAAACAATTATCACTACTTGCCATCTATGTTTAATAGACACTCCCCCCCGACATGTGCACATGCACGTATATGTATGTGCATAAATATTCTAAGTCATTTTATGAGCAATCCCTTTTATTCTTACTTCTTACAGAAGTAAGAATAAAAGGGATTGTGGGAAAAACTTTATGGAAAATTGTAATGAGGACGTAAGCATTGCAGAGCAGCTTTGATTCAAGTACTGTTTGACTCCAAAACTTATAAAAAGCCGAAAGAATGTGGCAATACAGGATGGTCCAGATACTCATAAAATATTGAGTGATTGAGTTCTTCCTATTGAAGTTACTAACTGAAAATAAAGTTTTCTTTTTATCCTCTCTTCACTTATTGATTCTTAAGTTTGAGAAAATTCATCACGGATGTTTTTCTGAAGACTCCTATGCTGTGCTTTCTCTCACATGATCAGTTTCACTATCTAGAATCCGGACAGGGTGTGTCTGCATTTGTGTTGGTTTCCTAGGGCTGCTATAACAAATTACTATGAACCGGGGTCGTAAAACAACAGAAATTTACCCTTCCGTTTTCCTGGAAGCAATAGTCTGAAGTCAAGGGTCACTATCCCTTCAGAGACTCTAGGTTCTCGGGATGAGGAAGTGAATTATCTTTGGGGGGCCATTTGTAAGCCTACCACAACATTTATCTTTTGATTTATCTAATAACTGCAAAATGTTTTCATCTGTCAATTTTGTCTACTTTGCCATTAGGGCAGAAAAAACAATTAATTTTCAACTGTGTTCAGTGAAAGCTGAGAACAGATTAAAATATGGGGTTTCCAGTCTTTTATACTTTCTTGAAAGGTGATGTAATACTTTGGACAACACAGTAGGGAAATTAAATGATGATGATTTATTTCATTATATCATCATCCTTTTAGGTCATTTCCTCATTCTCTTTTTTCTTATTATTTTAATTGTTTTGCATAAATGGGAATAATTGGTGAGTAACAAGGAACTACTTCCTAGGGTGATGAAATGGCAAAATGTTTCAAGATATATGAAAAATATTATTGCAGTGATCTGATAATGTACCTTAGATTAGTAAAAGAATACAGTAGACTTGTGTAGTAATTGCAAAATATGATTAGTTTTCATCTTTTTTTAATGTAAGTAAATTTTCTCTTTCTTACTGGAAGACTCATAAGAAAGGACAGAAATAATCATGACCTGTCGATTCTTAAAAATCGTTGTGATTGCTCATAAAAGGAGCTGAAAAACTGAAAGTGGATCCATGGAACCTAATGGCATGCCGCAGGTTAATGATTGAGGTTTTGGGTTTTTCTTTTTTTAATTTCAAGCAAACCAAAACCAAGACAATTTCTAGACTCCTTTAAATAACATTCATTAAATTATTCAATGTCCCTTTAAAATAACAAAATAATTCTTTAACTACATTTCAGTTCAATTTCTCTTACTGTGTTATATATAATGCGCTTATTATTCTGTTCCAAGTGTGTCATCGCATTGATTTGGTGCATCCACCTGATCCCCAGGCCCATAGTGCAGTTTGTGAAACTAATCAATATTTTAAACATAAATCACTCTGTACAAGAATATATATGCATGTTTCTAGCCAGAAGGACTTAAATAAATAAACAAAATCAGAATCTTCAGTGATTTATCCAGGATGAAAGATCAATGGAAACCTAGGGACCTATTTGCAAATCTTAATTTCAATTCAGCATTCATGAGCCCAGTCAGTAAATCTTTTCTACCTGACTTTGGCTGAGGGAGACCACAGACTCACAGAGAAGGGGAGTGGGGGTAGGGGGGAAGGAGCAAGGTATTCATGTACCTATAGAGGGTGTTGTCAGAGCTCTTAAGCCTGATGCCAGAACATGCACAAATAGGATGTGTTATACAGTATGGAAATAAGGGGTCCAGCTATCCAACAGAGCTCCTTTAGGACAATTCTTTTAACCTAGGAGGTAATGGGAAAACAGCTAGTTTTCTCATTCTTATACTTACTAGATGACAGTAAAAAAAAGGAAATATGATAAATGAATGCTATGTAAGTAAGAGTTTTCAAATATAAACACCAGATGCTTACATTTTGCATAATCGTAATTTTAGATTCGTGTTTGGCGATATGCTTACGGTGCTTTTTGACTCTGGTGCTCTGGAGGGGAAGTTCTGTCTCTTGAGCACCTCCTGGCACTGGGCTGGACACTTGCCCTCGTTAAACTATTTAATCCCTAATGCTCCTACAAAGGACTGTCATCATCACCATTTTACAGTAAATGAAAACTCATTTGAAGAAACTACCTGGGGTCACTATACTGGCGTTTCAGTCATTGCGTGCCTAGGCTCCAGTGCCTTCCACAGGAACCTGGCTGCGTTTTCTCTCATGCTGACCCAGGGCATCTCTGATTAGAGCAGAGATAAACTACCAACTCCAGGGAACACTGAATCTGGAGGCTACACTAGGTTCAGGGGGCGGCCTGGCACGATGAGCTCTGTGAAGAACAGAGGCCCAGCCAGCCCAGCCCAGGTGAAAAGCGGGCTCCCTGGGGGCTGCAGGAGGCGGCCTTACAGGCACACCGGCGGCAGCGGGGGCTGCCTCTGCCGCCCTCAGACCGCACAGTTTCTGCAGAGCGTTGCGGCTTTCCTGCCGTGCTCAGAGCCCAATGTGGCCACCAGCTGTGGCTCTGCATCAAACCCACCGCCCCCCCCCCATCAGTGTTCCGATCGCCAGATTCCAGAGGCCACTGTCCCTATCCCTCTCCACCGAAATTTTTTTCCTTCCCTAGTCCATTAATCAAGAGATTTCTCAGCAACAAACCCAATTAAAAATGAGCAGAGGAACTGAATAGACACTTTTCCAAAGAAGACATACAGATGGCCAACAGATATATGAAAAGATGCTCAACATCACCAGTTACAAGGGAAATACAAGTCAAAACCACAATGAGATACCACCTCACACCTGTTAAAACGGCTCTTATCAATAAGACAAGCAATAACAGGTGTTGGAGAAGATGTGAAGAAAAGGGAACCCTTGCGCACTGCTGGTGGGAACATAAATTGGTGCAGCCACTGTGGGAACCTCCACTCTGGAGATTCCTCAGAAAATTAATAGAGCTACCTTATGACCCCAGTGCCCCCCAAATTTTTGAGAACACTTAGTGGTAAAGCTATATGTACCCCTATAATCATTGCAGCTTTATTCACGTGGTCAAGACGTGAAAACAACTTAAGTTGGATGATTAGATAAAGCAGATATGGTACATATACATATATAATGAAATATTACCCAGTCATAAAAAAGATAAAATATTACCATTTGCAACAACGTGAATGGGTCTTGAACATACGCTAAGTAAAATAAGTCAGACAGAAAGGACAAGAAGCATATTATTTCACTCTATGTGGGATATAAAGCAAAAAGCAACCAACAAACAAGAGAGACAAAAAAACTCAGATATAGACAGAATGCCTTTTACCAGGGGGGGAAAAAGGTAAAGAAAGGTAGAAGGGGTAAAGGGGGTCAAATATATGGGGGGACAGAAGGAGACTAGACTTCCAGGGGGAGCGAAGGATAGAGTGCACAGCTGTATTATATAATATCATTAGCCAGTGTTACCCCAATAAATTTAAATAATAGAGATACGGATTTTCCTACTTTCTCAATCTCTTCTTGTTTTACAGCTCATAAATTTAACTAGATGTGTGCTGGAGCTAGCTTGCACTGGCTCATGAGAGCAGGTTTTGTGCATCTTTTTGCCGTTGTGCATTCAGTCACATCGATAGCTTGAAACTGGCCATGGTGGTAGTATTGACACTACAGAAATCAACGAGCACCGCAAATCAGGGCTCCCCGACTCCAGAGCTAGCATACCACTGTTTCAACCCTCTTAGCCTGCTTCCGTTCAGGCACCGCCTTGGAAAGCGGAAATGAGTGCAGCAGAATGTTGTTGTATAAGGGGAGTCCAAGGCGGGATGCGGTGGAAGTTTCAGCGCAACAGCCTAGTTCATCTAGTGTGTAGACAAGAGCTCATAAAGACTTACTGTCCATATCTTCCTTATATGTTGTTTCTAAATTCTGGAGTTTAATTACTGCTTCTCCGCCGTCCTTTCTGCAATGGAGAACTAATGGACCCTCTTTGTGCCTGTTCCTCCAGGAAGCGGTTTGACAGAGTGGAAGCAGAGTATGTTACGGCCAAGCTCGACCTGCAGCGCAAGACTGACATCAAAGAGCAGCTCACCGAGCACCTTTGTACGATCATACAGCAGAACGAGCTCCGCAAGGCCAAGAAGCTGGAGGAATTGTTGCAGCAGCTGGACGTCCAGGCTGATGAGGAGCCTTTGGAGCTTGACATGGAGGCGGAGAGACTGCTGCACGGACAAGAGGCAGAAGCAGGGAAACAGAAGGTCCATGGGGAGGGGCCATTTCAGCCTCCGGGCGAGAGTGTGCCTGGAGGGTCTGCTCAGAACACAAAGCATCAGGCACCAGCCGCTTCCCCAAAGGTAGACGGACAGTGTGAGAACTCCAAGAGCACCCCCCTTCACACGCCAGAAGACCCAAGTCAGGGAGCGGAAACAACCATCCACGACGGCTCAGCTGCTCCAAGCACGTGAAATGCCGGGGCCCGTCGCTCTCAGCCCCCGTAGTAGCCGGTAAACTCTCTGTTGTGGGTTATTCCGTAACCTCTGGTAAACGCCCCTTTAAAACAATATTAATGACTGATTCCATGATTACTTTTATAACAACATGTTTGGCCATTCTAAAGTCTCGAATGATGGCAATTTTATCTACAGGGGCATCGTTCACTTAATGTTGATCCTTTTGCCTTAGTGCACACTTATTTTGGGTGAAAACAAGTGACTTAAAAGGGTAGAAGAAAAACTACATGGCTATGAGTGTTTTCAGACCAAGTAAATACAGAAAAGTGAAATGAAAAATGGTAACACATCACCAAACTAACTGAACTTCTGGGAGAAGCGCTGAGACTGAGAACCCTATTTCCTCATGAGAACCCCATGTGCTCAGTGAAGAAACACAAAAGTTAAATGTGGAAAAGAGAACAAGAAACAAATAACAAAAGTAGCATTTGGATTTTACTAGATTATTATCTCTTTGGATCTTACTAGAATTGCAAAATACAACTTCAAAATTACCAGACAACTTAAGCCAACATTACTTTTGTATTCAATTTGCCTTTTAAGTGGCTTTAGTTTACAACCTGAGTTTTGATTAGTTGATACACACAAACTTGTACATATAAATATGCCATATATAATTTTACTATTAATATATTGTCTGTTCTTTAATCAGCACATTGATTAGATTAGGCAATGAAAACATTCCTACGGGGAAGCTGAAAATAATATAGAAAATCTTGCTACATTTTATTATGAAAAAAATTAACACATTTTCTTTCTAATGTTTCCTGTAAATACCTATTTTTATATGTTGGATATAAATTATCCTGTCATAAAGCATTTAAATTGTTAAAATGATGATTTTCTTATTACTTTAATAGTTTAATTATCATCACTAATACTTGACCACTACATTGTGCTATATGTGAATGTGTAAATAAGTATTGTAATTTTATCACAAATTCTGTGAATATAATATTCAATTCTGATTCATCAGAAATTTCAAACAATAAAGTCATGCATTTCGACTCTGAAAAAGAAGAAATAAAAGAGGATAAAGACAAATATAATATTGTATCCATAGTAATTTCTGAAAAAGAACTTTTAAATAAGTTTGAGGATATTATTTTCTAGTAATGTGGATGAGCTCTGTATTTTTATATTATGTAACTTGGAATTATAGCTTTCCATTACTGACTTCTATAAACAGAGGCATTTATATAGGTAGTTGTGTTTTTATTTATGAATGACATACCTAAAAACTGAAAGCTTCATGGTCCAATACACCCCTATTTTTCTAAGGAATAAACAAGTCTGATGCATTTATAACGTTGTCTCTCATTTACCTTGCAAAAAAAAATTTCACAGCTTAGTGTGTATTTTTTTTCAAAAGTATATATTCTTAAGCAGTGTGTGGCAGTAATGCATGCTGAATCTCCACGTGGCAGATACAATCATCTACTTTTGTATGAACCTCTGTTAGGGAAAATTCATCACTAAATGAGGTTCTATAATGGCCAAATACAGATAGATACAGTCTAATAGTGTAAGTACTTCAAGAAGTTACCCTATAAGGTATATGGAGAAATGAGAACCAGGACATACGTGGCATGGATGGAACCTCACAGATCATCTGATTTAATTATCATATTTTCCAGATGAGGAATATGAGCCAGAGATATCACTTATGTCACGTTGGCCAACTGGCTCATTTTAAACCTAAAGGGATAATAAAGTTGTACTTCTAAACTTTTTTTTTTTTTAAGCAAATCTCAGCTACTTTTTTTCCCTTCCCCGTCTTTCCACCATTGTCCTCCCCCCTCCCCTCTGGTCACTCTCAGTCTGCTCCATGTTTCCTTGCCTGTGGTTCTGTTTTGTTCGTTAGTTTATTTTGTTCATTAGATTCCTCATAGGTGAGATCATATGATGGTAGTCTTTCACCGACTGGCTTATTTCACTTAGCATAATACTCTCCAGTTCCATCCATGCTGTCACAAAGGGTAGGAGTTCTTTCTTTCTGCTGCGTAGTATTCCATTGTGTAAATGTTCCACAGTCTTTTGATCCGCTCAGTTACTGATGGGCACTTAGGCCGTTTCCAGCACTTCGCTATTGTAAATTACACCACTGTGAACATGGGCACATAAGTTTTTTTGAATTGGTGATTCAGGAATTTTAGGGTATATTCCCAGCAGCAGAAGCGCTGGGTCAAAAGGCAGTTCCATTTTTAGTTTTTTGAGGACATTCCATACAGTTTTCCACAGTGGCTGCACCAGTCTGCATTCCCACCCACAGTGCACTAGGGTTCATCATCAAAAAGAAAAGGGAACCAACTATGGGAAAACATTTGCCAATGATACATTCAGACAAGGGTTCAATCTCCAAAATAATACAAAGAATTCATATGACTCAACACTAGGAAGACAAACAATCCAATTAAAAAATGGGCAAAGGATCTGAATAGACACTTCTCCAAGGAGAACATACAGATGGCCCGTAGACATACTAAGAGATGCTCAACATCACTAGCCGTCAGAGAGATGCAAATTAAAACCACAATGAGATACCACCTCGCACCTGTCAGAACAGCCATCATTAATAAATCTACAAACAACAAGCGCAGTTCTAAATTCTTGATGTGTCTTTTGCTATGCAGACCATGAAGTTCACTGCATCGCTCTGGAAAATGTTGCTGTAGAACCTGTTCACGGGTTGTGTTTGTGTGTGTGAAAGGCTTTTACCTCGGTCTGTCCGTGGTCCGCTGAAACCATCATTTTGGAAAACTTACCTTGCTGGGCTTTCCCAGGGTGGTATCCAAGTGCTCAGGTGATGATATAAGTGACAAAGTTATATTGCATCAGTTTTGTGCAAGGCAGCTGTAGCCCACGTGTGAGCGGAGCGCGAGCAAATGAATGAGACGCGGGGCTCGACGGTATGAAGACCATATGCCCTGGCTTTTGCAGGATAGCCCTGATGGCTTTTAAAACCATGAAATACATTCAAAAGACTTTTGATATATGGATTCACAAATCCACAGTAATTGTTAGTTTCTGTGAAGGAAATTATTGGTTCAAAATTGCTGCCATGAGTTTATTGGGCCACTTGGCAGAGCAGTCCTTGGAGGTGAACTGCTGTTCTCTTCCACGTCTCAGGTAGTGAGCGGGCGAGAGAGGCAGGGCTCTCGGCGCCCTGTGCAACTGAGGAGTTAACTGCTTTGTGTCTTCTCACCTGCGCTGTTTCAAAGATGGCCTTTACCAAAGTGTAGTAGTTTCTACTCGGTATCTTTAAAAAGCATACTTTGAAGAATAAACTGAATTCCTGAATTTAAGAGTTCTTATACTTGGATTCCCTGCTACTTTCTTTAAATTGGAGCCATTTTTATCAGTATCAAAGGAGCAGAATTTCTCAAAACACTGTTTGCATTGCATTTAAAATTAAGAAAGAGTTTTTCTCGAATTTTTCACTTCTGCCTAATTCTACTGACGGAATCACAGCAATTGCAGGTAGTAAATCTTTGTACTCACTAAGAGAGCACAGCTGGTTTCCAAGTCAGATGATAAAAATCTGACTGGAATTCCTAGAACCAATTTCATTGCTGGATTGGCATTTGAATTATAGAGTAAAAACTCAGCTGTAAAACTCTCTCGCTCTTTGTTTGGATTTAGCAACACAGTACTCTCAAGGAGCTTCCTCTCCGCATTCAGCCACTTCCTCTTCGGAGGCACTGGCACAAAACGGGCTCCAGTTATTCTGACCCAGGCCGTTCCCGGTGACCTTTATAAATGATGTTTTGGGTTTTGTATTTCTAAGGAGCCGAGTCAGCATTTTAAAAGGCCCTGATAGATATAACTCAGTCTGCCAGACAAGACCTGGGGCTGCTCTGGACCAGGGTAATTATACCCCTTCTCAACATAGATCTACCCCAGGCCTGACTTGAACTACTCTCTGGAGGGATGAAGCAGGACACTGATTTCCAGTCTGCCTTCACCTTAATGTCAGGCTACTTTTGCAAGCTCCTAATCCCAAACAGCTGTCTTAAAAATGCAACATCATCCCTATGCAATTGATCAAACAACTGAATATAGCTACATATGTGGGCAGAGCTCTATAAGAGGTATATATGATCTGTGCCTTTTGTCTCTAAGAAGCTTCTAGTCTACCCAAAGTGCTAAGATTGACACTCAAAAAACAAATGTCTTAATGGGAGGACAGAACAAATCGTGGGAACACTGAATATGGACGCATCCTCCAGAAGACCCAAAATTTTCTAACACTTTTAAATAATCTGTCCGGTTGTTTTGCGATCTAAGAACATACCTAGGACCTGCCACGTCTTTCACTTTGCCCTTCACCCTGGGGAGCAACACACACAACTAAGACAACGACGACAACAACAAAAAAACCCTCTGCTAGACAATATGTCCAGATTTTGAGTTTAAAAAATAAAAATGTAGTCACCAGAGCAAGGGTAAATTGGAAAACAGGGAGGTTTTTGCACGCCACAGATTTAAAACAGTGGGCCCACTGGGGTTTATCGGTGAAAAAAAAAAACAAAAAAAAAAAAACCTCAAGTATTGGCAAAATTAACTTTAAGCACATGCCTTTCTGACAAAGCGTTGATAACATCTTCTTAGGTGCAGCAGAGTGTAATTATAAGGGCTCATTGCAACAATTCAAGGCATTGCTGAACCGAGGGGCAGTGAGTACTGCCCAAGCCAGGACAAGATGGGAATGGAACAGGCTGGTGTGAACTCAAGGATAACTCAATATGGGTGTATATTCAAAGTCACACACAAGAGAGGTCTTTCCAAGCCAAATGGCTCTAGGAGCCTAAAATAGAGCCGTAATTAAGCAATAAGACGTGACAAGGAGCACATTTCTCGGTGATTATAGCGTGCCTCCAGGATAAGTCACCAGGCCAGAGGTTCCTATGAGGAGTGAAATAACCCTGCAATGTATAGCATCACACGGCTGGAGGGAGGGGGAGGAGGAAATTAATAATGGGAGCTAGCCGAGGCATTCCGTAAGCTGTTATTTCGGTTGTTGGGTAGCACTGCCTTGTGCATAGTGCAGGCTGCTCTCAGTTGCAGCCAGCCTCCGGAAGCCCCGTATTTACACCACAGCCTTCATTCAAGTTAAAACCCTGCAGAACTGTCCGTCTTCTCATTTTCCTAGCCAAGCGAAAACCAGGCAATACAGACCCAAACAAACTTGAAAGTCCATGGCCATGTATATGGAACTACAGTCTGGTAGGATTATAATTGCAGTCACTTACACCTGGCTTTTGTAACTGCAAAGTAGTTGAATCAACCCCATTGAGTCATTTTCAGTATTTTAGCTCATTTGTCTCCTGTGCATTTTCCTCAGAAATTACCAGTAGACGTGGCCCTGTGTCCCTTAGGTCCAGAAACATCTGCAGCCTGCGGGTCTGAGGCTTCCTTTCCCCACTGCTGAGCTGCTGCCGGAAGATGGGGAGCACTCTGGAGCTAGAGAACAGCTGCACCCCGCGCTGTCGGGGAGGTGGGCCTTTCACCAGGATGACAGGAGAGAGTCCCAGTAGCTGTAAGGTGGGGCGAAAACCTCCAAACTCCACAAGGCGCCCGAAAAGCCCTGCAGATAGAGGCA